GCAGGCTGCCCAGCATGTACCCTAAGGCATCGTTCTTCCAGTCAGCAGGTATTCTTTGCTGAAATATGGAAAAAGTGACCTTGTTTGCACCCAGTTTACCAAGCTGGTCTGATTGTTCTGTTAGTTTTCATTATAATTCACTGTCCTGAGCCTTATGCTGTCTACAAATTTCAGTAGCTGTTACCATGCTTACATTTACTGAGTGCCATGTTTGCCTTGTTTATTGTTGTAGTATAGCAAATTATCTAGTGATACCACATCAGATGCTTTGTGGAAATCTGTTATACCAACCTTATCTTTTAACAAATGAGTCAATGATCTTACCGAGATCAAATCAGTTTGACTGTGCTTATTTTCAGTAATCTCATGCTGCTTAGCCTTTGTTATATTTGCCTCTTTCAGTTCTTTTATCCGGGATGTGATAAAATAGGTGCTTTTGAGTACTCGTGGAGTGGTTCCTATTCCAGCTGAATGCTGAATAGTAAATGCTAAAGTTAAATTTTTCCAAGTAAGTTAGATTGGATCATTGAAGAATGCTTGTTCTACTTGCTCACTTGTTTTAGGTAAATCCGTTGCTTGAAGCTTTTGGCAATGCACAGACTGTGATGAATGACAACAGCAGCCGCTTTGGAAAATACATACAGCTGCGTTTCCAGAAGAATACAGGTAAAGTCAAGGGCAATTACTAGTTTGGGGGATGGTTAGGCACCGGAGAGAGTGGACTGAGTAGCCAGAGCTTGTGGAGGGTGAAATTTTGACATTTGACTCCCTGTGGGAAGGGTGTGCAATTAAGTAAAATCTTACAGCAGCCACAGCTGTAGGATAAGGCCTGGGTTTGGACAATGTGGGAGTATAGGAAGGATATGGGGGAGACGGTGCAGGGGAGGTATCAGTAGTACTCCGTGGTGCCAGAAGCCTTGGTTGCTGCTAAAGGAGGTGAGCAGACATCTCTAAGATGATGGGAAGCATGGAGAAGCCCATTTGCAGGGTGCTGGGCAGCCTAGAGGGTGTTGTACACAAGAAAGTTATTTTAGACAATTCCATGCTCCTATCACCAAATAAGAGATGCGGGACAGCTCAGTCAGCTTCATGTACCCAAGTCCATTGTTTACCCTGTCACCTTCTTGTGTGCAGTGCGAGGTGCAAAGCTGAGTGAGTACCTGTTAGAGAAGTCACGGGTAGTGCAACAAGATACCGGGGAGAGGAATTTCCATATCTTCTACTACATGTTTGCTGGACTCTCTTTGGAAGAAAAGGAGATGTATGGGCTATTGGATCCTTCACTCTACAGGTACTTCAAAGGCAGACCCTAGTTTAATCTTCATGATGGGGGATGGAGGGGAAAGCAGCATAATGGAGCCTCTGCCTCTGCCCTGTGGCTCTATCTGTGGAGCATGGTACAGGTAAACAAATTAATGGAAGCTGGAGTGGAATCTGAATGGAGGTGCATGAAGAGGTCATATGGGTCACCATGGAAGCTGGGTGGTCTGGACCCTCTTCTTTGTTGCATTACCTTGGAAAAGTTTTTTTCCCTCTCACGTCTCCACTGCGACTGATCTGCTTTGTTCCTTTGGGATAGGACTGACTTGCTGTGCTGATTGTGTGATGGTTTTGTATGGGATATACACTTTCTCAGGTACATAAGTGGACGATTTGGTACACAGGATGTAGCTCAACGCTGGAAGCACAAATACCAAGAGGTGTGCAATGCCCTTGACATGGTGGGCTTCCAAGAACAGGTCAGTTCTGGGGTCATTTAATTTCCATCTGTGCTTCCTGCAGGAATAGGCTTTCTTTCTGGCTGCTGTTTTGAGGCTCAGTCTTATTTCTCTCCTCTCTGGATTTTCTGTGTTGCTTCCAAATCACCTGAGTCTGTCAGACTTTGTGTAGAGCCTTTTCCCACAGGCTTCCTGTGCCTTTCCCTCACCTCTCCAACTTCTGGGGCCTCCATGTTATATATGTTACATGCTGATAGGTTTTCAGTCACCTTTCTTTTGTGTTTCAGGAGCAAGTGGACATGCAGGCTATCTTGGCTGGCGTGTTGTCTCTGGGCAATGTGACCTTTGAGCCTGAGGAGAGTAATGGATCTGTAAAAGTGAGTGAAGCCTCCCGGGGATGGCTGAAGGCTGCAGCGGTGAGTCACAAGAGCTGACAGAAACCTTATGGATATGATACTGGTTCCCACTGGCGGTGTGACTGCAGGAGCTGCTCCTGCCAGAGATGGCAGAAGATATTTCTACCTCAGAGTGTGAAGGCTCCTGAAGAGCAAGTTTTTTCCAGAAATGCACAGTATGACCCCATGACTGCATTTGTGTTCACTTCTATTCATTCCCAAAGAAACACTTCCCAGCTTCTATTTCTCATGTGTCTAGAACCAGTGTCTTGTGTATGGCGATATCACACGTGTCTTGTTGACTTCATGCAATACAAGCTTTTTAAAATTAAATATTATATGTTACTAAGTGTGATGATGCCTTGGAGAAATTCAGGTGTGCAGTATCTGAACACTAGTTCTGTGTTTTCAACAGATCTTGTCCAAGGATACCACCTTAACTGCTATCAATTTTTGTTGGTTATCCAGAATTAAACTTTCTACTATTTCACATGAAATTATCTCAGATTAAGTAATAGATATTCCCCAGAACCATCCCATTTTTATTATATGGGACGGGTACATTATCCTGCTTTGTTAACAACACAGAACAGAAAAACGTAACGTATTTCTGCCTTTTCTATGTCTTTTTATTTTGACCTATTTGAAATCCCAGCACCTTTGGTTTTTGGTTTCACTCCCATATCTTTGCCTGTTTCCCTCCTACACCATACCTGAAACAACCACCTACATCTGTTCAGCAGCCAACTTCTTTTTGTCTTGTTTCTTAAAGTCTCCTTGTTTTTTGCCCACGGGAGGGGAACTCCTGTTAAAGTCATTACTGAGGGGTTCAGTTGTGTCTGAGTTCCCTTTGTTTCCTGTCTCTCGTGGGTGCCTGTGAGTCTGATGTCTGCTGAAGCTCAGACATCTCAGCACCTGCACAGTCACCTCCGTGTGGTGCTGTTCAATAAGTCATTAAACCACTCAGCAGGGACTGGCGTGGCTCCCAAAGAAGGTGAAAGGTGGCAGCACTGGGAGAGCAAAACAGAAAGTATTTCAGAGAGGGCAAGAGTGAGCTTCGTCACTGCAGGGATAGCGCAGATCTCAGAGCCTGCATCTGACTCCAGTGCTGCAAGATGTTAACAGTAATACTTATCTTACAGTGGGGCTCAAAGGCCTGAATCTGAATCATGACCCCCTTACACTGGGTGTTGCACAGGCGCAAGGAGATGCAATCCCCACATGTAGAACCAGGGTTTACTATTGTCCTGGTTTCAGCTGGGTTAGGTTAAACCACGACACTATTGACTGTCCTCATCTATTTCCTCTCTCCCAGGGTCAGTTTGGAGTCCAAGAAGATGAACTGTTAAAATGCCTTATTTGTACGATGTCAGTGACCCGAGGCGAGCAGATTCAGCGTTTTCACACCCAGCAGCAGGCAGAAGGTAAGAAACATAATGAACTGCAGATGTGCTGGCTAGAAAGACTGACCCATATTTGGTTGAAGGGTGTCCCCACATACGTGCAACTTGTTGGGAACAAAGATGTCTGTCTGTGTCCCTTCATTCCTCTTGCACAGAGGCAAGTATGTCAATGTTCATCTGTGTCTCTTACTGACATGTAGGACCATAAATGCTGCTTTGTTTGATCTCCAGGAGACTGCAGAAATTAAATGATAAACCAAGGAATTAGCTTTGCTTTCTCCCTCAGTCCAGCCTAGAAGGAAACTGCAGGTATTTGTACAAAAGAGGGGAAGGCTCCTGTTGCAGAGTGCTGGCAGCGTGCAGAGCTCTAGGTAGTAGATGGAGAAATAACTGAGAGAATCAATGAGATAGCACAGTATCAGGGAGGGAGTGGGATGAAAGGGAAGTATGTTAAAGTAACAAGTGCAAGGTGTTTTTTTTCCTTTCAATAAGAAAAGAAAATAATCCAAGAGAATCTGCACAAAAAGGTTCAGTTAAAATGAAATATTTTTAAAATTTTTTAAAAAGGCATGAAATCCCAGGATTTCTAGATTATTCCTTAAAATAAATTAAAGAAAAAAACTGAAAATGGGGAATTAGCTAGTTCTGTTTCCCAAATGTCTTCTCTTGCATCTCTCTAGACAATAAAATAAACATCTCCCAACAGTAGGTGCCTCATGCACAAGGTCATGTTGATTTGGTCTCCTTCTTCTTTGAATGTCAGCAAGTTTTCCATCAATTGCATCCTCCTCTTGCCCACAGCGTTGAAACACTTGGCAGCTGTGGGCTAGGAGGAACAGAACCATTCAATTTTCCAAGTACAACTTGGAGCCTCTCACTTGGTTTAGTAGTGAGGGAATCCATACTTCGTAGACCTGCAGAGGGGAAAGCACGTCTGGATACTCTAAAAAGTGGCTGTACTTTTTTTGAAAGGAAATTTTCCGTTTTAGATGGTCTCACAAGTGCCTTAGTATGTCATATCTGATCTTGTAGAAAGACTGTGAAGATTTTGGAATGAAAGAGCTCTTTTTGAGCTTACAGAGGACAGGGATAATCAGACGGATATCTAATGTTTATCTGATCTTTAAAATAGCTTCATAAACCACTAGACATTGTTGCTAGAGGTGGATGTATTGAGGCAGCTTGTGTGCTGTGTTCCCTGCTCTCCTTGGAGCCCTTCAGTGAGTTGCTGTTGTTCTCTCTGTGCAGATGCTCGGGACTCCATTGCAAAGGTGGCATATGGCCGAGTATTTGGCTGGATCGTTTGCAAGATCAATGAACTGCTGGCTGAGAACGTGGATTCTGAGGTGGAACTGAGGGAGATAGGTGAGTTCTGCCTGCCTTGCTCCTGTTCTGTCCTCAAATGTGTGTCCCTCAGCCCCAACGAAGGAAAGGCACAATGCGAGGTTTCACAGAGATTGCTCACAGGGATCCATTATCAAAGACATGATCAAGTTGGAGATACTAGTCAGCAGCATGAAGTCTGTAGGGCCTTGGCCAACTCTGAGCAGTTTGTTGGTCTGAAGCAACTGTGAGACTGTAGTTCTGGGGCACTCTGGCTTTGCAGAGGAGCCGGGGGTGGGAGTGGGGCTTCTCCTAACTAGCTCTCTAAGGAGAGTTATGGGAGAGGTGCTGCTGGTGACTTGGCTGGGGATTCCCTGTCCCACAAGAGCTGTGTGATGGGAGATTTAGTTGTATGGGGGGGTACGCAGCTATCTGCAGGGATGGTCTGCAGGCTCCATGATGTGCTCATCTTCCCTCTTTTAGGTATCTTGGATATTTTTGGGTTTGAAAACTTTGCAGTGAATCGTTTCGAACAGCTTTGCATAAACTTGGCCAATGAGCAGCTGCAGCACTTCTTCAACCATGTAAGTCTGCTATGGGTGATCTCACCTTGTGTGGTGGAGAAAGCAGAGCACTGATCTACCTGGCACATGAAGGAGAGCTTGGGGAAAAACAGGTCTGTTGCCTGGAGGGACAGAAATAGTGATTAGTGAAGCAGGGTAGAGAGCAGCAACCTTCTTTGCTGTGGCAAGAGAGCCACTGGTGCAGGGAAGGAAGGAGTAGAAGGGTCAAGCAATAACCAAAGTTGGCAGAGCAGGGACACTTACACTCTGAGAAGTGTTCCTGCTTTATACACCAGGATCAGTGAGTGACAGGCTTACAGATGAGCACATAGAACAGCAGTTTCATCTTGGGCCTCTGATGCCGTGGGTGAGAGAGCAACGCCTCTGTCCTCTGTTCAGTGTGGAAAGCAAGATGTTCAGGGGTGCTCCAACCTCTTTTTATTCTGTTTCAGCACATTTTCCAGCTGGAGCAGGCTACCTACAAGGAAGAAGAGCTGCCTTGGGAGACTATCACATTCAACAATAATCAAGCTATTCTGGTGAGTGAGAGGACTGACAGAAGAGAATTACTCCATCCAGCCAAGAGAGGAGTCTTGCTCTTGCTCTCATGGGGAGGAGATGCACCTGGGAAGAACCTCTTCAAAGGGTGGTGTAGGTGAGAGTGGATGCCCTGTACTGCTTTAGATATGTGTAATGTGTCTCCTCTCCCTGCAGAATCTGCTCCTGGCCAAGCCACTTGGGCTTATGTCTCTTCTGGATGAGCAGAGTGCATTCCCTCAGGTATGCATGAGATAGGGGACAGAGGAATAGTGTGGGGCAATGTAGCAATAAATATTTGGGCTGCAGAGGGAGCTCTTATGTTGGAGTGTGACTTTACAGAGCAGGATGAGCAGAAGCGTTCCCATGTGTGACTGATGAGACAGGACAGCCAGATCAGGGACAGTCTAATGATATTGGCATCCCTGTGGAGAGTCAGAGAGAGAGTACAGTATGAAACTGTTGCACAGCCAAGGCCACTTCCAACGCTTTGTTTTGCTTCTGTGTGCCCTGATCAGGTCTCTGTTGCAGCCTTATTGTTTGATTATGAAATCTGCTTTCTTGTAGGCAACTGATAAGACATTTGTGGATAAACTAAACAGCAGCTTCAAGGGGAATTTACACTTCCAGCCAGGCCGAAGCCATGTTTTGGGCTTCAGCATCATTCACTATGCTGGGAAGGTATGTACTGTTTGCAGGAAGAATGCTGTTGTAACATATGTAGGAGCAGGGAAATGTGCTGCTTGACAAATAAGGCTTTGATGTGAAGGAGTGTATGGTCTGACGATGATGTAACAGAAGTGATGTGTTCCCAGGAGTTGCCTCCTAGGACTCCCTGGGGTTTCCGTAGAAGGAATAGGAAGAGAGGACCCCTGAGGAAAGTGGGGCTGCCTCTGGGAAGCATAGGATATTAGAAGAACCTGCTGTACTCGTCATCGTTCTATTGGAGCTCTAGTCTTAAAATAGTCCTTTATAAAATAAAAGCCCTGCATCCGCTGTGCAGCACCAAAGGACAGTCTAATGGCTTTACCTTTACCTGTTGGGTTCCAAAGCATAGCAGTCACTATTTTATTGCAAGCACTGAGGAACGCAGTGAGAGCAGCCAGGTGTTTTGAAAGTGGAGGCAATTATTTATGCATTCAAATGATATCTAAGCAGCTTGGGATTTAGGACTGTGCATGTAACCTTACTGCTACCAATTTTGAAAGCATTGGCCCAAATATGTTGAACTGATTGGAGATAATTTTTGGAGCAGGAGCAGACATGACAATTCAGGTCATCGTAATAAGCAATTTAGTAACCTCATCTCACCATTGTTGACTAAGTTATTACTTGTGACGTTCTTTATTACAAAAATTAACACCTAACGTAGAAAGGGAGCGCCAGGCTGGAGATGCGAAAGGAAGAGAGCAAGAGACACAAGGGGATGCATAACAACAGGATGGAAGCCTATTCAAAGGGAAGAGGGGGAGAGCAAGGAAAAGAGTGAAGCATAAACCAAAAATAAATGAAACTTCATAATCAAGGAAAGGAGAACAAGAAAAGGTGGATGTCTCAGTGTTGTGCTGCACTTCTGTGGTTCTAATGCCTCAGTGCCATCAGCGGGGTTTTGTTCCTCAGGATTTGCATCTGAATGGCGTGCATATGCATTTACAGAATTCACAGTGTGAGCCAGTGTACAGAATTCACGTGCCAGCCAATGTACATTCAGTTTAACAGTTGCTTCTGGCAAGCTGTGGAGGTGGCTTTCACAGCAAGCCTGTGAGCACTGCTGGCCTTAGTGACTTGCTGCCCTTTCCCCTAGGTACAATATACTGCTGGGGGCTTTCTAGAGAAGAACAGAGACACCTTGCCAGCCAACGTTCGTGGGCTTTTCATCAAGAGCATCACTCCCTTGCTCAGTGTGCTGTTCACAGGCAAGTCCCTCTGCTATGGTAGGGCATCCTACATGAATCAAGGCCCACCTCGGCAAGAGTTAGGTGTGGGGATGAGACTTGTATGCTATGAATGTGTTTCACAGCTGGCAGCCCCAGGGAGACTCTGGGAAGGCTGCAGCCTGGAGTGGGGCTGCTGGCATATACTGAGCTGGTGGAGCTGTTCATTCCTCCCTGGAGAGCAAGGCAGGTTGTATCCTCTTCCAGAGAATTATCCACTGCCCAGATGTCTTCTCTCGGATCAGATAGCCCACCTTCTCCAGGGCCAGTGCAGGACTGTCTCCACTGGCACTTTCCATATGCTCTGTTCTTATCTAGAAATGAAGCTAGACAAGGTCATAGCTTCTAGCTGTTCATACTGAAAATAGAGTGCTGTAAAGCCACAAGCAACGAGTGTAGAGATTATCCTTTGCAAACACATTTTGTTTTTCAGGTACAACTTGTTAAAAACCCCTGAGGTCATGCATTATTTCTCTCCCACTGCTACACTCCCTTTTTCTAGTTATTGATAAGACCTCAGAGTCTCCAAGGCTTCTATGAAAGTAAACATTTAAAGAAAAGTCAGGTGGTCGCTTCCTTGGAATTTGTCTGGCCAAACACAGTGCTCCTGGTGCAGAAATTTTTTTTTTTTTCCTATTCAGTGCATGCCACTTTCTGGGATTTACAAGTAACTGATGAATTTCATTTCTATTCTCCACTGTGTTTTTCAGCTCTTATGCTCAGGAGTATCTTCCTTCATTACCACTTCCACACTGTTACTGAAGACACTTAGTCTAGTCCCAACTCTTTGAAAGTTCATAAACAGTGGAGATAACCTGTTCTCAGACTGGTTGTCCAGTCCTGGGCAGCCGGCTCTAGGTGGCCCTGCTGAGCAAAGGCGTTGGCCCAGATGACCTCCAGAGGTCCCTTCCAATCTCAACCATTCTGTGGTACTATGATTCACATGAGACTGTTGCATCAAGGGTGTGCAAGACTGTCATTAGATCCTTCAGTAAATTCAACTTCCCTGAATTTTTCATCTTGTCACTGAATTAGTTTTAAGCCATCTGACTTTATATAACTTCCCGTCTTGACTGCTGTAGGTGAGCTTCCCATTCGCTATCTGTACTTTTTTTCTGCATTGTTAGATGCCCGTTGATGATATTTCTTTTGAAAGTCATTTAGGGTTGTTCAATAACCTGATTGCCTTGTCTTCTCAGTGGCAGAAAATAATATTGTATGCTTCATCTATTTGCATTTTCTTCTCCCTTTCTTTAACTCTTTCCTTGTATTTCCATGTGGTGAAACCTAATGCCCTGTTTGTGATTCAGTATTTGTAGGGAGACTTGTGTGTGAAGTGAGGCTTGAATGTTTAGACATGGTTGATTGCAAGCAAAGGTGCAAAATTAACTATTGTCTGTCTTCTTCCAGCCACTGTCTCCAGGACGGGGACACTGATGCCTCATGTGAAAGCCAAGGTATTGCACTTTAGGTCCACATGGCAATTGATAAATGATGGCATAGTTATCTGATATCTATTATTTGAGAAATTGGCTGAAAATGAGAGCAGACAGAAATTGGTTGAAAATAAGAGCAGACAGCCATCTGCTTGAAACAATTTCTCCTTTGTTTTTTACTGGGTTTTCTGTTTGCTTCTGCTGATATGTTTAACTTGTCTTCCCTCCCCTGAAATCCATCCTCTCTCCTTTTTGCCATCTGCCTTCCAGCAGAGCTCTTTGGATAGCAATCAAGCACTTCTTCCAGGGGTGATCTTTTGTTTGGGTCTGGTTTCAGGTCATACCAGGAGCAGACAACAAGTTCAACAGCACACGAAAACAGTCTGTTGGAGCTCAGTTCCGGGTAAAGTATTGCTGCACTGCAGTGCCCCTTGAGATGAGTGCAGTGATATTTTAGTGAGAGCTTTCGGGCTGCTAAGCATAGTTAAAGCATCCAGCCTGTAGACAGGGGTTTTTCTGAGTGCCAAGTACAGCTGATCATGGTGGGAGTTACCATTGTTATCAGAGCCTGGGAAGTTGCTGTGGGGTGGTAAAACAGTTCTCGCTGCAGGATATTGCACGCTGGGGCCTGGCAGTGCTTTGGCTTGCTGGACTGTTGATCTTTCTCTGCCCTCGCCAGCATTCCCTGATGGTGCTCATGGAAAGGATGTATTCTGCCAACCCGCACTTTGTGCGCTGTATAAAGCCCAACAACCAGAAGGAGCCAGGTGTGGTGGACAGCCAGATGGTGCTGCTGCAGGTGAGGAAAAGCAGTGTCCTTTACAGGTACTTCTGCCACGTCTCAGTGGGGAGGGCAGACCCCACCAAAAGGCTGTGCAGGTAGGTGGAAGCTGGCTGGTCTGAGTATCTCCTTGCAAGAGAAAGAGTAGGCGCACTTTTTATGCATGTAAAGGTTCTGGGTACTTTGTTTTTGTGACACAGACTGCTAGGTCCAGGTTTTGCAATCTTAGTTCTCTCCCATTTTCTTTTTCATGAATGCAATGAGATCTGCTTGTCAGGCACTAGGATTCATCTTTGCATCTCCTGGATGGGGACTGGTACAGACAGTACTCCAGAAAAAATGATGCTTCCCGGAGGAGACTGTTCTCGCCCATCAGCCAGGGCAACTCTGAATAGGAGCCAAGATGGGATCGCTTTGATAGGAGCTGAAACGTGCTGATATGACTGTCTTTGGATATTGTGTCAGGTCTGAGATCCAGACGCTTTAAAGAATACTGAAAATGATCAGAAGAGTTCAGAAAGCTCTGTGGCCTGTTTAATGTATATAAGAAAGGATAGGATTAAGAGGGAAGTTCATCCGTGCCTCAGAGAACTTCTTTGTCCAGATTTGGAAGTAAAAGGCTATCCTCTAAGGGACAGAGGCAAAGCAGTACCCATGGCTGGGAGGTGAAGTTATTTCAGTCCTTGGTTTTTATGGTTTCCAACTTTTAACTGAGAATGGTTAATCATCAGAGTTACAGGATGTGGTAAATTCAGTCTTTAACCAAGGAAACATTTTCAGAAAGAAACTTTTTCGTTTTGAACTAGAGACGTTTAGGGCTGAATGAAGGCATTTCTGGCTGCAGAGGAGCAAACTGATGTCCTAATGATCTGTTTCTGTTTGTTTCTTTGATCCTCTTTGTGGTGCTGCTTCAGCTCCGGTACAACGGACTGCTGGAGACAATCCGTATCCGAAGAGATGGCTTCTCCTGGAGACCGTCATTTGAGGAATTTGCTGAAAGGTTTGTTAAAACCTCTGAATGTTCCTTGTTAGATATTGTTAGGGAAGCGACCCTGGTAACCAGATATGGGCAAGGAGTGAACCAGCCTCTTTAAAGTTCACATGCCTGAGATCATGGGATTGTTTGCTGTGGGAGGCTGAGTGGGAAAGACAGTGATTTATTGTTGTTTGCTGTGAGAGTAACATGGATCAGCTCAGCACATCAACAATGTGGCTCTTACCTTGCTGTATTTGTTTGTTTTTCACAGATATGGAATTCTTCTAGTTAAACCAGATGTTTCCCTCACAAAAGAAAGGTAGAAACCCTTCCTTTGTTATGTGCAATCCAGTTTGTTCTTCAGAGACTTTTGCTCTCAGAGGAGCATAGCAAACTGAGTAAAAGGAACAAAGTGAGGATGGGTTTTTGTGGTGATGGGGAACACAAATCCCTAGGCAAGGACAGTTAGTGTTTAAAAAGCATTTGGTACAATGATGAATGAAATCTTTCTTGAATTGCTATGTAGCAATTCAATTCAATTACTGTAATGCCTTGCTATCCTGTGGAATGAGAACTGGCTAATGTATTCAATTTAGGGAGTCATAATAACGGTCAAGGGTGTCCACTGAACTCAGTATGGCAGGGGCTCAGCACAGTTTCCATGTGCCTCTCCAGGCTTTTTCCTGATGGCCTCATAGGAGAAGAAGAAGATAAAGACAATGCTGAGCAAGCAGCCAGCACTGAATGTCTCCCAGGCTAGAGAGGACGTTTCTGGTCCAAGAATTGTTTATGTGTACAGGCATAATATACCCCCACCACCTTCAGAACCTGCCTGTTCCTTACACATATAAATGTCCCTCCAGCTCTGCAGTCTTACCCTGTCAGCTTTTTACTTCCTACGTCTAGGGCAGCAACTCCCCACCCATTCCTTCCCACTTTCCCAGTCCCTCCTTCCTGCCATGGTCAATTGTGACTGATAGTGAAAATGAAGCATGTAGGGCAGCCAGCTGATTGGGGTTTTTTTTGGTCTTTTAAGAAAAGGATTTGAGTGTTCTCCTGGAAAAGTTCTTTCCCGGCAGTACCTCCTCCAGCCTTCACAGAGCTTCCTTGAAGTTACTGGTGATACTGAATTAATAAGAATTGCAAACCCAGTTGAGACCCAAGTCAAGGGAGAATCGCATGGATGAGAGAAAGATGATGGTAGACAGGCAGCACGGTGTGTTTTCAGACACAAAAAACATAGGATGCTTTTGAGAAAAGAATTACCTTGGATATAGATTCTGGCACAGTGGAATTTGGCTGAGATAGAAATGAAAACCACTTCTGCTTTGCTATGTGAGATATTAGCAAAAAGTGCCACTATGGTTTCACAGGCTGGATTTGCAGGCAGAGGGAGGAAGCTGTCTGTGTGGTGCAGCTAGAGTATTGCTTTCAGTTCCAAGTGTTGGCGAATCTTTCTGAGTGACCCAAATTTTATCACTAGAGTCTGCAAAATGAAACTGGAATTGGAAAACAGACTTTCTCCCGGAAGTCTTGCTGTGCCGACCTTGCAACTTGTGTGCTCCAAAGAGCTTGGAAATGAAATGAGGAAAAATAGTTCTGAGAATAAAATAAGCTCTGCAGAGTTGCCTCCCAGAGAGCTGAAGGAAATCTGCCTCTAGGAAACCCATTTGCTGATGTTTCTGAATGTGGTCCTAGCTGTACCTCAGGGAGCACTACAGATTGACAGCCAGTTACTGAATGCGATCGGGTGACAGGGGACAGAGAATGTAATGCAGGATCATTGAGGCACTTTCTCCCCCTTTATGCACCTAAAACCACTGGCTGCATGGTGTTCACTTTGGGTGGAAAATTATTTCTTTCACTTTTTTCCTCTCTTTCAGCTGCTTGGACATACTGCAAAGTACAGAGCTGAAAGGCTGGATATGTGGGTAGGTGTGAATCACTGTTGCTGGGAATGAGGGGCCTGAACTGCAGAGACTTTATACATGTAGACTGTTACCTGGTTCTCTTCTGGGAGAACTTTGTGGCTGTAGGAAAGGCCTGTCCAAAGGATGATTGGATGCAAGTTTAGACAAACTGTTTCTCACTGCTTCTTTCTCTCCCCAACTTCTCAGGAAGTCACGACTTTTCTTTAAATATTGGCACCAGGGACAGCTGGCAAAGTATGTGGAGCGACTGGAAAGAGCAGCAGTTGTCATACAGAAAGGTGAGCACTGGGGCAGGAGAGTCCCTCAACTCTGATCTCAGACCAGGGCAAGGAAAAGCTTTTCTCCAGTCCCTGTTCCACCATTGCACCTTTGCAGATGACAGAAAGGCAGGCTAGGTGCCATCTCCATGTCAAGGCCCTGTGGAGTCAGAGTGCCTATTGCAGTTGCCCACCTCCTCAGTGCTCATCCTCAGTCAGGGAGAGCCATCAGACAGCGTGAGCCTTGGAAAGGGAAAGCATGTGTGCAGGAGAACTGAGCTGAGCCAGGCAAGCATATGATTTGGCTGTGTCCCGAGATATGGGTAACCATCCTCTGGAGTGAGGGCTTGTTTGTAAGTGGTGTTGAACTGAGGAGAGGGAAAAGAAGATGAGGTAAGCAGATCTCATTCCTACTTTCAGAGACAAGCAGAAGGGGATGAAGTTTTGTTTTGGTGTAGGTTTTTTTCTTTCCTTTCTGGGTAGCGTTTGCTCTGGCAGCCTGTTTCTCCAGAACAGGCACTGTGGGCAGTTTGGTACTTACCTCTGCACAGGCTCCATGAGGACTGTGCAACCAGGAGGAGGAGGCTGTCATCCTGCCTGGTCCCTCTCTGTTGTACTTCTCTTCTGTACGGGTTGTTGCACTGCTGAAGCATCTGAGCAGCTTCCAGCTATGCACTGTACAGTATGACAAACATCAGGCTGTCACATGCTGTGCCTTGTTCACATCTGTGAGGAAGATGTGTGGGTAGTGGGTAATGAGAGAGTACAGCTTTCAGTTCATGTGCTTTAGTACCTGGTAGAGTAGGCAGGATAATGCAATGTCTGTAAAGCTCCTGATGAACCCTGTCATGGCTGCTTATGAGAAAGGTTATCCTGTGGGCTGACACCAAGGAAATCCCGTCTCCTGCACGGAAGAGCTTTGCTTTTACTGAGTAGTGTCTGAAGGGTACCAGCAAGATACATGGTTAACAGAGGCCCTTCTGTGAGACTTTGTTTTTTAGGTATCCTGTGCCTTGGCATTGGAGATGAGAGCTTAGATCTGTAATTTGATTTTTTTTAAATCTGTGATCCGGCAACTTAGAGAGTAGAAGACAGTTCTCACATGGTTTTGACTGCCTGCTCAAGTAGAGTCTGCATTGCTCTTTATTAATGTGATTGAAGTGTTGAGGGCTTTGCACTGGGTGAAGGAATATCACCCAGCGTGCTTCACCCAGGGAGTGACAACGGCGTGATGAGCGTATTTGTTCTAACCACAGCTTTTCTCTGAACAGTTTTCAGGGGATTCAGATACAGGAAGAGTTACCTAAAACTGGTGGCTGAGCTGAGAGCTCAGGCACAGCGGCTACAGGAGGAGGCAGAGAGAGAAAGAAGCCGGCAGCTGGCAATAGAAGCAGAGGCCCAGAGTGAGTTGCTCCCACTCCCACTGCCCCTGTGCATGGCCACTCATGCGATGATCACCTCGAAGTGCCATAAGCTCCAGGTGATGATGGCCTGCCCTTGGCTCTCCTGGGGCTGGGGGCTCCACTGATGCGGTGGGCAGGGAGGTGCCGACATTTCTGCCATTTGAAAGTGCATCCTTCTCTTTGGGGAGCAGAAGCGGTGTGATGAAGGTCATTTTGCCTGCCTGTGTTGGGAGGAGTGCCAAGCTGTGTCTTTCCCATATATTCCGTGCAGCAGAGCCTGTCCCTATCCTGGGCATGTGAAGGATGGATCTTGGATGCTAGATTTCATCTATTTCTTTCATCTTGTTGCAGAAAGAATCTCCCTTCCAGTCCCCATGCCGCGAAAGAGGCGCCCTCAGCCTTGTCCCCATCCCGATAAGCCACCACAGCCACCAGTGCCACGGCCACGCAGCAAACTAACAGAGGTAGTGATATTGGCTCTGCTTGGGGCCCCTTAGCCAGGTGTGCTGGTTCCCTGCTCCTTCCACCTTCTGCAAGCACATGTTCTCCTGCATGTGGTCCCAGGAGAACTTTGTCATTCTTGTTACAAGAAGTGAGAGAGTCCTTTCCTACTGTGGTTATTTAAAAGCGTAGTCAGGACCTCTGAGGAACTGAAAGCAGTGTTGGATCGTTTACGACTGATCTTGTCTTAAGGGACTCAGGAATGGGATCACTACCAAAGTGATCCCTTCAAAGGTCCCCTGCCTTTGACCTTGCTTTCATGCCCACTTTCCCCCTCTCCCCACTTTCAGTCCACTCCTTTTGATAACTTCTTGGACCCTTCTGTGCCTCGCCCTGTTCTGGGGACAAAGGAACACACTGGAGAAGAGGCAAAAATGAGGAAACTCAAGAGAGGAGCAACTCTCCGCTGGTTCAAAGAGACGCAGGCCCAGAAGGTCATGCAGGATGATGGGGCCTTTCCAAGCTGGCTGCATGGGATGATCAGCCGGAGGTGAGCATGCTGGACACAGTGGCCGCAGCTTCGGCTGTGGCAGGCAGGCAGAAGCTGCTGTGTCCTTAGGAAGACTGTGTAGGTTGAATTTGCCAGGATTTGCCTCCTTAAGGAATGGGAGTGACCTGCATAACCTTTCACTTTTAGGCTGTAAGCTTCAAACCCCTAGGGGGAAGCTTGGAGCTCCCTGTCACAGGATGCAAATGCTGAAACTTTACATGGGTCCAGGGAAGGACTGTGGAAATTCATAGGAAATAAGTCCACTGTGGGTTCCTAAATACAGATCCTGTGCAGGGAAGGGAGGCTTGGGAAGTACTTGGAGAGGAAATAAATGCATGCATTTACCCTGTTGTGGACCATTTGCAGAGACGTGATATGGAATGAAAATGGACTTTTCATCTGACTCATGATGACTGTTCTCATATCTCTCAGTTTAGGTCAGGAGGAGACCTCAGTTTACAGCAAGAGAATACAGAATTCAGTGTACATTTATTTTAAAGAAGTATGAAGAGGGGCTTTAGTGAGTACCCAATGGCAAGATTCCCCCAAAGCCCTTAGAGATTGGAAAGGAAGGCTTTTTGTTGATACCTCTGCCCATCTAAGGAGAGTGCAGCGTAGGTGGAATTTACATCCCTTTAGGCTGGGAGAGACATCCACAAAGCCCTGCCTTCTTACAGAGTTGTTTACGAGACTGTGAACTATCAAGCATTTTTGGGAAAACCTTTATTTAAATGCTTGAAATTTTGCTACTGGGTATGCCTCACACTTCACTCTCTTGGCTGAGCCAAGCACTACTTTCCAAGCAGTGTGATAATCAGAGAAATGCTGATTATGCCAGCGATTGGACAGGAGCAAGATGGTGGGGTTAGCAGGTAGACGTCAGAATTTCTGGCTATAGTCTCTCCTGTGTGCAAATTACATTAATTGGTGCTGCATATGGTGCTGCATGCTGCATGCTTGCTAACTGCCGGTGTCTCTTATTTGGTGGGACTTGTGTGTGGGCGTTGCTGCCAAGCATGCCTGTCATTTGAACACCTTTATCCTCTTGTTCCAGTTTGTAACTTCTTTCTGTTAAAGCTGTAAGTCTCCTTCAGTCTTATTACATCACAAGTTCCTGGATTTTGTCAGTTTATCAGTGTGAACATTACTCAGAGACTTATACAGCATGTTAGCTTAGTAAAGAACACAACAGTAGCCGACAACTCCCTGGTAGCTGCATTTTTTTTTCTTTTTTTAAGGTAATTAACAAGGCCCCCACTTGCATTAATGCTTTTGTCCACAGATCCAAGAATGCAGGAGAGGACCTAGCACCTGGAAGACAAAACTGTCTGAATTTGAATGTAGGCTAGCCATGAGCACTTCACAATGAAAGACATAGCAGATCCTTCCCAAAGACACTGACGATTAGATACTTTTGAAGTGGTGCTTCCTGTTGTTGGATTTAAGTCTCCATACAGCAGTGTAAGCTCAGGCGTAATTAACAGAGCAGCCAGAGCAATCCCAAACTGCACTGATGTGATTTGCAGTCACCTTTAGCCTCGAGCAGGGCACATGACAAGCACAAAGCAATGCTTAGTCTATTGGGCAGAGAGGGGGAAGACCTCCTTCCAGCAGGAAGTTGAGAGACCCAGGCTGGTATAATCCGTGTTGGTGTTTTTCCAAGGCACTGGGCTTACCTTGTGCTGAGCACCACTACCCGACAGCATTCTGACTTCTTCCGTCAGCCCTGGAGCGTAGGAGATGCATATGTGCACAGCCTCCTCACCTCAGCGATGCTTTGTAATGTGTTCTGTGCTGGAAGGCAGCTGTTCCTATTGCACTACTCAGACCGCTGGAGCAGGTTTGGAGCAGCCCTGCTTGGAGAGGCTTTGGCTGAGAGTATTGTGCCTCCTCAGCCTGCTAATGCCTCCTTGCACCAGCAAGCTTGAGTCTGGAAACCTCTAGCTAGGAACATAGGGGGCAGATGCTGGCCTCCCTGTGGAGTGGGAGCACTACCATGGTAGCACGTGAGACAGGATGGGCACCCCTGCATAGAGGCAGCTGCTCACTGTCCGCTGAAAAACTCTTTCCTGCTTCCAGGGAAGCTGAAAACTTGCTGATTGACAAACCTTTGGGTTGCTTCCTTGTTCGGATCAGCCAGAGCCAACCAGGCTACACCTTGACATACAGGTAGGTAATAAGCCTTGCAGAGAAGAAAAAAGAAGGTCCTAAACTGAGCTATGCATGGCTGGAGGAGTCCACAGAGGAGTCCAGTGAGGATGATGCTCAGCCTCTCCTGTTGTGGGTGCCTCAGACAGTTTGGAGTGGCAGACAGGACACTGTGGAGTCTGTCTCTCACCAAAAACTAGATCTGTTTGTGGGTGCAGTGCTGTGGCTCCAAGGGTGCAGGTCCTGCTTGGGCTGTGCTATATGGCTGAGTGGGCAAACCAGGTTGGAAGAAGCATTGACCGGAGCAGAGGAGATGAGTCTAGGGGAGGGCCTGAGGTGAGGCAATCAGAGTGCTGCAAGGGCATGGTCTTTGTACAGGCTCAGGCAAGGGGTAGGGCAGAGTTTTAATGTGGACAAGAGGCATGAGAGGTGGTACAGTCTGCTGGGGTTTGGATCCAGCTGCCGGGGTTCTCCTGTCACTGACTTTGGGGAAATTGCTGCTCCTCCAGCACCTACTAGCACAGCATGTGACACTCCGGCATGGTGCGTCTCCTGCATCTTTGTGATGTTTGTTACTGCGGCTCCTGATCACATCTGGCCTCTTGAGACAAGAATTGCAGAAAGCAATGACTAGGTCCTGGAGAGACGTTGTGGCGCCATGCCATGACTATTTCTGTCTGTACATCTCCCCAGGGGCGAAGGCCGTTGCAGACACTACATGATCCAAATGCAGCCCAACGCACGCTATGTCATCCTGGGGGAAGACCGGGCTCACGCCTCGCTCACTGAACTGGTTCAGTATCACCAGACTGTGGGCATCCAGCCCTTCATGGAGATACTGACTGTTCCCTGTGGGCAGGTGAATGTTAAGGATCTGCAGCTGGAAAAGGGGATGGGGCATGGACTGTGCCCCGAGCAGACAGAGTCACTGTGGCAGCATCTCTCTTTTGTGTTCCCGTTGGTGGTATGCCATTCTGTCCAAGCAGCTTGGCCTCTTCTGCATGCACTGGGAAACACTACTAGCTGGGCACTGGGGAGTCCTGAGGTGGGGGAGAGGCCCTGGTGGGTGGATGACACACCCCTGCCCCCTGAATGTCAGCAGTGGTCACAGCTGGGTATTCCTCTTCATTGTGCTGTTTGGGGTGTGTGGAGGGGCTGCAAGCCCCTGCT